TAGGCTGATCAAAGTCAGGGCACGGCTAACTCACAGATCAAACCCTGCAACATCCTCTGGGCTGATCTAAGTCAGGGCATGGCTAACTCACAGATTGAATTGGAATTTATTGCGAGAAAACCCAGAGAAAGACCCTCGAATCAAATTCACATGTGATGCTGAGTCCAGAAATTAAACCCAAGACCCCAGAAGTCAAAGACTATAACATTCAGTGCCACTACTCCACCTTCTACTACAATGACTGAAATTTTTGGCTTTCAGTTAATGGGCTAGTTAATTACAGATTCAAGTTATTGGTGAGGGGAGGAGTTTGGAATTTAATTTTGATCCTGTAAATAATAAATACAGTCCCTAGTCTCTTTTATTAGTAGTTTATAATATAGCAAATGTTATTCTCATACATAACAGCTTGGTCTTAAGATAATGTCTGGTCAATCAGTCATGTGTCTTGATGACCAGCCAAATTAATTCTAGCTTGGTCGTATAGTACCTTGTGTCTAGTTCAATCTTACTCGTTAGAATTATAAAATTAATGACCAGCAAGTCTAAGATTTAATCAGACATCATTTTAAGTCATGCAATATCAAGTGTATTGATTCATTTATTGCATGCTTACCTAACACCCATCTTACAGTCCATAACGCAAGGATTGTCAAAATCTTGTAAAAGATCTTGCATTTCAATATATTCTTTGACTGTTAAGGGATGAACGCTTGGTTAAAGTGTATGTTGCAATACAAAAAGGTTGCTATGAATATCTTCCTGAATCTCCTATAAAGTGAGTGGATGCAAAGGGATGTTTGACAAGCTTATATCCCCCCCCCCCCCAATGACAGTTTTGTTTATTATTTTGTCTAATTTAGATATCATAGGCCAAACATGCAGAACTTGCTAGGTAGGTCATTAGTATAGAAGTATGACCTGCCTGTATCCGTAACCTTGGCCCTTTCTCAAAAATATCCTGTACTATGCTTATGATATGCATACATGTCTGTTTTCCAATATATTATCTATGTTAACATAAAGAAGCTCTAGAATCCTAGAATTCACRAAAGGATACTTTCTCCATTTCTTTCCACCTCCCTTCGATACTCTGGAACATAAGGTCTGAGGATGTCTTTCATTAATATGATTAGGCAATCCTTTTCTTTGTCAGATGTCTTCTTTAGAATTGTTCCATTCTCACCTGCTTTGAAACTCCCTTGAAAAAAATATTTTGATTACATATTTAAAATATTGTGTTACAGCAGTTTATCTGAGCTCGTCAGCTAATCTGGGGGGTAGGGGGTGTACACCCCTCCTTCAGATCTGCCCTCGAGTTCTATACTTTAACATTAATGTGTACATACATCAATAACGATAAATAAATACTACCTTGGTGTCCAGCCAGCTGCACCCATGGATATTTCTTTTTGAAGTTTTGTACAAAGGGTGACCACTGAATCATACGACGAATCTTTTTCCAGTGAACTCCACGCTGCGGACAAATATAATCCGGTGTAATGAACCAAGGGGCTCAGCAATAATTATGATAATAATTTTTCATAAAGTGATATATCCTAAAGCTATAGTGCTTGACAAGCTAAGATAAAACTATATATGATGTGAGAAATATTGAATCCTGAAGAACAAGAAACATTTGCCTACAACATATTGTTGAAACAAATTGTTTTTCCTCTCAGACTCCACGACAACATTTCCTTTCAGGTTTGCTGCTAATACGATAATCATAAAGACAGAAGCTRGCAAATTATTTCAAACAAAGTGAGGTTAGCATTTCAGGTTAAAACTGTCACAATTTTTTTACTTTATTTTAATTAATTGACAGTAGTACAGATATATATATAATATGTGCTTTGAAATTGAAAAATATTAAACACAAATAAGTAAAGTCGACAGGCAAACAAACCATCAAAATATTTCAAAGATCTGCATAACTACAATATGTATGTTTTGTAGGAAATTGGACATACATACAAACATACTTTTGTCAACATGCACAAGTTTAATTAGACAATTCAAATATTGAAATTTTCGGGTATTGATCATAAACATTTTCCACCAATATTTTAGTAGCACCCTAGGCTAAATAACTATAATTACTTGTTGATTTTTGTACCATATTGCAGGAGTTTAAAGCAAATGAATTTTTCTAGAGTATTATGTATTTTTAAGTGCAAAATTCCTTAACCATCTTTTTACTTTATGTATTCATTGCTATTTATTTGAATCTGGAGAAATATAAAGATTCCACCTAGACTTTAATTTAGTTTTATAGATTGAAGTCATATTAATGATGCATTCATAAAATAATAGATCAATATACGTACATGTTGCCATGGAGATTATAGCGAAGAAAAATCTAATTAACTTGACAAAAATGCTCTACTTCCGGTGACAATTGAATTTCAATTTAAAACTATTGAAGCGAATTTTAAGGAAGTCTAGTATCGCCTAGAAAACTTGCTTAATTTTGCAATAAGACTTTTAAATAAAAGACTTAATTCTTTTGTAGATAATTAGACCGAAGAATTCAATAGATTTCTTGCATTTGTTTTCAAATATTTTAGAACAGTTTAAACAGGTCAACTGCCAACGCTATTCATGCTTTATATTCTGACATTCTACAAATTAATGACTCTATTTAAAGAAAACACCAGATATTGACTCCCATAGATATATTCTGGGATTTTTTTTTCGATCCGAAGTAGATATTTGAAGTTGCATAGCCGGGTTTAAGAGGTGACCAGCAGTATGGAAGTTTCAATAAAGTGTTTACATATCATAAGTTGAAGGCAGATATCAAATCAAGCGACAAAACAGTTCAACAAAAAAGCATTTGATGATTTTTCAGGCTACATTTCGAAGTAACAAGCTTACTGCACGTATTTAAAGTAATCTCTAGCTCGTAGCTACAAATTAGTTGTTAGAAGATTCAAATCAAAGACGAGCTAGGTTATGTGGCAAATAAAGTATGAAGGCAAATATGTAAACTAAACAGCTCATTCGTCTTTCATCGCCATCCCTATGAAAATATGATCTTTGAGTTATCGTGACGGATTATAAATACCGTTGTTCGGCATTCTATCGCTAGCTTCGAGGGTGTAAAACTATCAAAGCAACAAAAATTGAACAACACACGCAAAACCCTCAGATACTTGAAATAATCCCCGCCATCTTAGCGAAACCCTAAAAAGCACATCAGAACATTTTCACTTACTTTTTCCACATTTTCTTCGACTTGCGATGCACTATCGCTCTCCGATGGATCATCATCTGTGAGAATCCCGTCATCTTCGGACTTCTGGTCTTCAGAACAAACGCTCGATAGTGAGCAGCTATCTATGCAATCATTAAGTCCATACACTCCATCTACATCCCCGTTCGAAGTCCCTACTATCTTTGAATCCATATCGGATGAATCTAAAGTTTGATCGCTAGCTGGAGTCACAACAACTATCGGTGTTATTTTACGTTCCAAAGGAGGTTTTCGCCGTACGTTCTTTACACTTTCAGCATTATTTTCAACGTTGCCCGTAGCGTTTGTTGCATTACCAATACTATTCGAGTTGTTTTGATCTACGTCTGACCCATATTCTGAATTTTTATGGTCTAAATGAGTATTTTCTTCGCACAAATTAGATTTAACCGTAGCTTGAAGGTCTGTTCTTTTCTCGGTAGAGTTTTTTTCTTGCTTCAAAGAGACAGTATTTATGGCGCCCGCATTGTAGACTCCAAATTTCGAATTCCCTCTGGAAGCAAGACTGATGTTCGAGGGAGGAGTCATGCCGTGTGATGAGAATATCTTGCTGCCCATAAAGCAATTGGTTTGTTCAGGGCCTGACGTTGGTAAACTGTTTGCATTGCCTGAAAAGACATGAGCCTTCAAGGAGGCCAAACGATCGGGCAACCTTTGATGAGTTACGCTTACAAAATAATTCGGGCTCGATGATGTAGTATATTTATTTACAATTTCATTAGTATAGTCCGTCTCCTCCATTTAAATAAATTCTAATCCCAAGCACTGATACTTCGGGACCCTTGTAGACCAATTATTTTTCTGTGTTATTCAGCAAAGCCGTAGATATCGAATTAAGATAGAGACACTAACTCACCTTGGTGTACGTAGTTGGGCCGCCCTGTGAACCATAGACCACTGATTATATAGTAAAGAGGCGAATTCGGTGTGAAAAATATCCTTTATCTTTAGAAACACAGCAATACAAAAGGAAGGATTTTCGTTGTTTGTCTACGCAAATAGATAGTGTCACGCAGGAGATGTTTTCCGTCTCTGCCGATCAACAAGATGAAGACAAGATGAAGACAAGGTGAATTGGTTGTGTTTTGAATGCTGCGTACCGTCGTTCCGTGTGATAACCCTTTACTTAAAGTCCAATATTCAGCTTATAGGCGTCTGTTGAGCAGCAGAAATCACAGAAGCCATCTGCCCCGTGCTAAATAGAGCCGTGACTGTTTGATATCTTTCCCTACTGTTCATACGCTCTCTCATTTCGATATCACATTACCATAGATAGCAATAAAACGTGGAGAGCCAATCACATTTCCTTGATCAGTCCCTACTGATCATACCGTATTTAAAACCAGCTAATGCCTAGTGCTTTTTGGACGTTCTGTATCTTATTTAACCAACTTATGAATTTCCTTGAATAGTTTTGCTGAAAATTCGAGGTTCCCCAGCAAAAGGAAACTGCTTTGGCCACACGCTGAAACTGCTGAAGAAAAGAAGGAAAAAGTGTAGTGACGTCATTAATTTGCTGGTTAAGATGCATAAGCCTTTCCATCTAGTCTTTAGTCTTTATCTGCCCATTATTGTTCTTTAGTTGTTAAGACTGAATTCACTTAGTTAGGGCTATGAGGTATATGGTCCATGATTGACGTAAAGGATGCGAAATTTCATTATTATTTTTAACTGTCTTGAGTTCCTCTTATCGGGTTTATTTGAAGTGCCTTCAAAAACAATAGTACAAAAACACCCGGAAAATAGGAAAATCACGCGTGGTTTATTGATTGATTTACGCAGGTTGAGGGTGCGGAATCAATTGGCGTAATTTTATCTTCATACTACTTTACTATTACTCTTTTTATTCTTATTGTCCAAGTATTAGCGTTCGAACCACATAATGCTCTTACGAAACCACAGGAAGCCCACATCTTCAGCTTGAAACTTATTTTAATCTTTCGTTATTTTTATTTATTGGTTTTTTAATTATCATATAATCATATTACTAGTGGGAGTGCTTACAGAAGAACTGGATAAGTATTTAATAATTATTATGCATTATTATCATCATCACACCGTCATCATCATTATAAAATAAAATACAAGTTCCTATTACTCACTTTTAAAGCTCTTCATCAGTCTCAAACTACATAAAGAATATGATTACTTCCTTCAAACCTTCAAATATATTATTATCATTATTATTATTATTATTACTATTATTATTATTGTTATTATTATTAGAGTGCAAACAATATATCCGTGAAACACTAATTACTAAATTGTTCAAAATAGTGCTAGTTAAACAAAAGAAAACAATAGAATTAGCATAAAGTAGTATGAGTTAGTATTACTGATATTTCACGGATATATTGTTTACACTCTATTATTATTATTACTATTATTTCTGTATTATGACATGTTAAGACGGTTCGTTTGAGATCACTTGATACAGAGGGGAGGATACAGTTGGGTTACCTGTGGTGTTCCTGGGAGCAGCTCGTACAGGGTACTAATAAAGATGGCGTTGGTACATAGTGAGTACAATGTTGTTATCCCGGAGGAGGTCAAATCTTTTCCTCGTATGGTCCTAAAGAGATTCGAACAACTTGGGGATAAAGTTGCTATAGTAAGTTTTAAGTATAGATTCCTTTTTGTAAATTTGTCTATTTGCAAATGTCATGTATAATAGCATTTGGATAAATATCCTCTGATCTAGCTAAAAAGAGCGTAAAATCATGGAAAATTACCATATTAAACCTAGCCTTTCGACGTAACTGATCCTTATGTAGATATTGTTCATGCTGTAGAAGATCGTGCCAAGTGTTTTCCAGAGATCGTTTAAAACAGAATATCTTAACTGATTGTGCAATCACACTATTCCAGTTATTAAGTTTTGATAGGAATGCTGCATATTGCACAATAGACGTCATAGTGAAAAGCTTACATGCAAGCAGAATCATTTTTATTATATTATTTTATAATTTTGTAGCCTGGGTGCAGACAGAATTTAACTGCCATTAAGACTGCAGTTAAATTCGTTTTGCATGCAGGCTTTAATTTTGATGATAATTTAATACTGCACAAGTAATCATTTGTGTAGTTTTGGACTAATGATGCTCCCCCCCCCTACCTACCAAAAATGAAGGTTCCTCCCCTGAAGAAGCATGCTCCCCCAAACAAACATGCTCTTCTTGAATTATTAATAATGGGTTAATGTTTTTATCAGGTTGATAGTGTATCAGGTCGATCCTACACATTCAACCAGCTCAAGATAATGATTTCCAAATGTGGTTCTGCACTTTTACGCAGAGGTTTCAAGTCAAAAGATGTGTTAGCTATCATCTTACCTAACATCCCGGAGTTTCCTATTGTGCTTTATGGTGTGATATCGATTGGAGGTACTGCGACAACACTCAACCCTATTTACACTGTTGACGAACTCGCGTACCAGCTCAAGGACTCTGGTGCAGCGTACATTGTAACCATTCCTCAACTTGTCGAAAAAGTAAACAATGCTGCAAAGAAAGTAGGAATCAAAGAGGTGTTTGTGTTTGGTGAAGCAGAAGGATTTGAGTCCTTTTCTAACCTGGTGTTAAGTGATGATGGCTCTCGTTTTCAAATATATGATCCTGTTGACTGGAAAGATGAAGTTGTATTTCTACCCTATTCAAGTGGAACCACAGGGCTGCCAAAAGGAGTTATGCTCACTCATTACAACATGATCGCACATACATCAATGGCTACTCATGTATCATTTCTGTCAGTACCAGAAAGTGGTGGAGTTATGCTTGGTTTGCTGCCCATGTTTCATAGCTATGGCCTTGGGGTTTTATTAGGTTTAGCACTGTATAGTGGATTCAAGATTGTCTGTGTAATTGGTTTTGAACCAGAGTCATTCCTAATGGCAATTCAGAAGTATAGGGTATGTGCATAATAACCTCTTATGATTAGAATCCTTTGCCCAATCCTTGGGTGTTTCACTTTAATCTTGGCCTCCAGAACTAATACATCAATTGAATATACATACCATCCCATATTGCTTTGCACTGTCAGTACCATGCCTCCCTGTACTGGATTGTAAAAAGGGTGAATAGTACTATCCAACAGATAAATCCTATCCAGTGGATACATTTATTGGATAACAGTATCGATTAATTCACTGAATAAGGATTTATCCATCAGACAACACAATCCAAGCTTCATACAAATGGGCCCATACGTTAGTATTAAATTTCTTTTAATTTCAGATTGATACTCTGTGTATAGTACCCCCCATAGCACTGTTTCTTGCTAAGCACCCTTTGGTTGAAAAGTTTGACTTGACTTGTGTTGAGAATATCTTATGTGGTGCAGCACCCCTTGGCAGGGACTTGATAATCCAGCTTAAACAACGTTTGCCACGTACAGACATCATTATCAGGCAAGGTAATTTATAGCAACTTCGACAGCCAAATTTTTTTTTTACATTAACAGAATGTAAGCAAGCTGGTTATCTTTTGCTCCATATTTCACTCCAGCCCACTGTTGTTCTCTCTCTTCCCATATTTCAATCCTACACAATGCTCCTCTTCTGTTTATTCCTCTAATTATTTCTGTTTTTTTTTCTTTTTTGTCCCTTCTTTTCTGTACCCTTTTCTCTTTCATCATTTCTATCCTATGCCATGGTTTCTTTTGCTCCTTCTCCTATTCTGTGCATCTTTCCTAGTTCCTTTGACTCATCCTTTTCCAGCCTATTCTATTCTTTTCCTTTCTATCCCATACCCTAGTTGGCCCAATCCCTTCATTCCTCCTCCCTTCTCTATTCCAAAATGCTACCTCTTATCTACTGACTATGTTTGTATCTGATCATTAAAAAAGGGAGTGATTATGTTAAACACACTGTCTGATATCATTGTATAGGATATGGACTGACGGAAACCTCTCCTTCTTGTATGGCATCCACACCTGATCTCGTCAAGCCTGGCTCGGTTGGAGTGCTCTTACCAAATCTTAAAGCCAAGGCATGTACACTTGTGTACACTTTAAAAATTGCACTTAGAGTGAACGCCATTGATATTCTATGAAACAAAAAAAAAGATGCATTGTCAAGCTCGTGAGGATAAGCCAATGAGTAAACAAGAAGGGTGGGCAGGGGGGAGCAACTCCTTCTCTTAGCTGGTTCATGCCAAGTGACACATATGCATAATTAATGATGCCTTAAATAATGCCAATTACGTCATCTGGAAGTCTAATGAATATTCATAGGATTAGAATAGTGGATATTACTGGAGCAAAACATTGGGAACAAAAGCAAATACCTGTACGTGTTTTTGTTTGGTTCATGCCTGGAGTAATCCTGAGCTATTTTCAACTATTAATGGTTGATAACTAAATACTTTTATATATGTGCAGGGGCCGATCCAGGATTTTTTCAAAGGGGGGGTTGTAGCATTGATTGAGGTACTTGTTTGGCGGGAAAGTAGCATAGGGTTCCCCAAATGGAAGTAAGCTTATGATAATGATTATTTGCTGCAGGCGAGCATGGTTGTTTCAGGTCCCACACACCGTGTATAGAAAAAAAAGGGAGGGAAATGTGTTCAGCACCCCTGTTTTAATAAAACTCGCGATGCTGTTGGTGTTGTCATGAAAAAAAAAAATCACAATGGCTCTCATAGGGGGGGTTGCAACCCCCAAAACTCACCCCTAGATCCGCCACTGATGTGCTACATGGCTAGTAATCATTCACAAATATATGGTGTCCACTTATAATTCTTTTTGCTGTTAGAATTAACACCAAAAAATCATATTGAAAATAAGTATTTTTACTGCCGTTAGGTGATAGATCTCAAGTCAGGGGCCATCCTAGGACCAGAACAGGATGGAGAAATCTGTATAGCTGGTCCTAATGTCATGAAAGGTATTAAATTTGTGAGATTTGCAAAGGGAATTTTTATTCAGAAGAATTTTCAGAAAATCCATAGAGACAGGGTCAAGTCAAGAGTGGTGTATCAGTACATATGGTGCATTCACCTCTGGGGTCTTGAATTAAATTTCTTTTAGGTTTTGAATATCATATGATAAGGATTGTACTTCTTCAATAGGATACCTGAATAAACCAGAAGCTACAGCTAATACCATAGACAAGGACGGGTGGCTGCATACTGGTGACATAGGCCATTATGATAAAGATGGACACTTCTACATTGTGGATAGAGTCAAAGAACTCATCAAATACAAAGGATTCCAGGTAAGACAGGCATTACAACTAAATGTGAAGAGTATGCGCATATATTGCATAGTTTTAGAGAGCAAAAAAAAGTTTCCATCAGATGGGGGCTTTCAATCTTCATGGGGATTGGTGGGGCAAATTGAGAGGAAGGCCTTGATACCCACCAGTAATATTTTTAAGAATTGTAAGATTTTTTTCTTTTTCTTTCCAATGAAAGGTCCCACCAGCAGAACTAGAGTCTGTACTTCTGTCCCATCCACAAATAAGTGATGCAGCAGTGATAGGAGTGCCTAATGTTGAAGCTGGTGAGCTCCCTAAAGCATTCGTTGTCACACGATCAAACATATCTGAGAAGGAAGTCATGGATTTTGTTGCTAAGAAGGTTGCACCTCACAAAAAGTTGAGAGGAGGAGTGGAAATGGTCGAGAGTATTCCAAAAAATGCGAGTGGGAAGATTATGCGACGTCAACTGAGAGATCAAGAGAGGAAGAAAGTTGCAGCCCAGACAAAACACAAACTATAACTTGTGAAAGTGACAAATGAAATTTAACCATGCATGATTGGTATGCCAATATCAAAGTAGATGGCATTTCCATACTATTTTAAAAAGAAATTTATACTCAAATGACATGACATGCCATAAAATGCTCTACTTAACATAAATAGCCGTACAAAAATAGTATCTTATTCTCAGCAATCTCCCCTGTGCTATATGGAATGAACAGCGAATGTGAATAAGGAAAGAAAAGAAAAAAATTATATTCCGGATATGTTGACTGCATAGGGATACAAGAGAGACAGCTTGTCTACAACCTGCTCAGTACAGCCTTCAATCTCGAAGTGTATTGGGTGGTGTGGTCTCATCTCTTATATGTGCTTGGTGAGACCACTGATGATAGTTTGGAATAACTCGAATTCATTCATTTTCTTAACAATTTTCAGAACATTTTTGTAGACATTTTGATGAATAAATGAAGCAATGAATACAATGGTCAATAACTTGTGTGTTATATTTTGGGAAGAACACTCAATTCAGTAGAACATGGTTCTAATGCATTTATTTGCCTGAACAACATGTTTGCATTGCATTACAATCATGTGGCTAACTGGTCTTATAGCTAGTGATCCTAAGAATGATCTTCGTATAGCCAAATGGATGGTAATACAGGTGTAATTAAAGATGATACCTTTCCTCTATTATCACTTCATTAAGTCATTTTAAAAATAATTATCATCTATTTGTCATGGCTTTATTTTGGGCTAAAATGATTGTTAACCATTTATTGACCATCCCTTGGCAAGCTGTCAACCCCGGGGGGGGGGGGGGGGGGGGGCCCCGTGTGGGGGGGGGGGGGGGGAGGGTACCCTATATTCCCTATATTGGTATGTGCGCCAAACAGGATATGGTTTTCAGAGATTCTACCCTGGAACAGGGTATATAAAATCGTGCTCGCTCTGGAACAGGGTATATGAAATCACACTCTCCTCTCTGGAACAGGGTTTTCAGCGATCTTGCTCTGGAACAGGGTATGAATTTCAGCGATTTTTACTCTGGAACAGGGTCAGGGTTCAGAGGGCTCAGTGGCACATCCCTACCCTAAACGGGCAAGAGTACCCCCCTAGGCTGTCAACCAACTATTGGGTAATGACCAAGAGGTGTAGAGGTTGCTCTTGTTTACTCACTCATACAGGAAAATAAAATCTACAGCATTTATGCTATTTCAATGCCATCATAATAACAATAATATTATTAATCAATCCAAAGTAAATATCCTCGAGGCAATATCTGTTATTAGCCAGTCAATGCCTTCCAGTAATTTTTCTCCAGTAACTGCGCTGCATCCCTGGATCTGCCAATGATGACTTTTGATGGAATCGAGGTTAAGTGCCTGAAGAAAAAAAAGTTTGAAAATCAATCAGTATTTTCTCTAACAAATTATTTAAAACATCAATTTTATCCAACCCTGAAAATATCTTTGTGCTGATCTATGTCACGGCACAGCTAATTTGCAGATTGAACCAGGGTGAAATCAACATTTGTGTTGATCTAAGTCAGGGCACAGCTAATTTGCAGGTTGAACCAGGGCGAAATCAACATTTGTGCTGATCTAAGTCAGGGCACAGCTAATTTGCAGGTTGAACTAGGGCGAAATCAACATTTGTGCTAATCTAAGCCAGGGCACAGCTAATTAACAGATTGAATTGAAGTTTAGGGTGTTGGGTTTTGTGGATTAGGAAGACTTGAACCAAAACAAAACCCTTGAATTAAGGGAGACACTCAACAAACTCTTCTCACATGATCCTGAGTCCAGGAATCAAACCTGAGACTCCAGAGGTGAGAGGTGAGTGTACTACCCCTACATCACCCTTGGTTCACTAATATATGTGATGTTGAGTCCAGGAATCAAACCTGAGCCTCCAGAGGTGAGAGGTTAGTGCACTAACGCACCACCCTCATTTCTAAGAAGACTCCCAGGACTTTCCTAACCCTTATAAGAGAAGAATCATAGCACATTTTATGGAGTCCTCGCAATCTATTTTTTATGGAACAGTACCTGTTTTATATCCTCTGCTGATAATGAACCAGGCAAGTCCTGCTTGTTAGCAAACACCAGTAGTGTTGCCCCAGCTAGTCTCTAAAAATAACAGACAGTTAAATCAAAATAATAATAATTACAACAAAGACCATGTAGTGCCAACTCTTGGCCCCACGACAAAGTGACTCCAGGGTTTATTACTGAAGTGGAGGGGATGATCTCACCTCTTCAACTAAAAGTCCCTGCAATTCATTTCTACAATCAGCAATTCTTCTTTTATCAGCACTGTCAACCACCCATATTAGACCATCTGTCGTCTCAAAATAATTCCTCCAGTATGATCGTAAGGACCTCTGGCCTCCAACATCCCAAACATTTAGCTTGAAACTGAAGTGAGAGAAAATTTTTAGTGCAACTCAAGCTGGAGACAGAAGTGGCAAAAAGTAGGTTTATCTATTTCACTCCAACCATTACTATGCATTGTGGTTGGGTGATTAACATAAAAACAATGGGAAAGCATTTTGTTTCTACAGTTTGTCATACCTTGCAAATTTGCACATACAGTAAGTAAGTACAAAGTAGAATGATTCCCACTTAAAGTGGTTTTCAGATGAGTGGGAAAAGATATGAAAAATTCATATCATATCCATCCATCTGGTAGATGATGGGAGGCCATTATAATGTTACAGCATGTCATACCAAGTATGCGCTATAAGTTAGTACTTTAACTGTGCATTACGTTTACCACTGATATGACAACTACTGTCAGAACTAAATAATGCATGGTAAGATACAAGATCGGCACCCCAGATACCCTGTCCACCAGCCTATAAATAGCTAACCAATGGTTGTGACTTAACAAACAGCCATGAACAGTCAACAAACAGGCATGAAATGTCCAACCATCAATCGACAGGGCATCTGGGGCACTGATCTCGATATTCACCAACGATGTAGTTTTCTCTCATACTTACTCTCTATGTTCTAGCGTCTTGATATTAAACCCTAAAGTAGGTTCTATTGTATTGATGTCTTCACCATTAAATTTCTTCAGAATTGTAGTTTTACCAGCATTATCTAAACCTCTGATGATGGTATATTTAGTCAAAGAAAATACAAATGTAACTGTATCTAATCTGTGAATTGAAACCAGAATAACATGAAAAGGCAAACTAGAAGAAGGGATGTAGATCTGCTTTGGGCCTTTCATCCATCCCTTTACAATCTGTCTAGTTCAAGGGCTGCTTCTCTTGAAAAGATCCTTAGACAGAGAGATATAATATTTTGTGTCTGTGAATAACCCCAAGGCATATTAGAATATTTTTCAATTGTTTTCGAATGTTTACAGTCGATCTAAAGTACGAATGTCAAAATGTACAAGCTCAGTATACTCAAGGATACAACATCAAAATCCGAACTTCCTTTTCCTTCTGTTTCATTTTCTTCAGTATCGTGAGTAGCCCCATGATTCAGCTGCTAATTTAGTCCTAAAATAATCTACTTTGACGATGGAATAAATATATAAATGTAAAAAGAGGGACGTCTTACTTTGAAACCCAATTAGTGGCCGCCATTTTGATTTATTTTGGACCGCTGCCCAACACAGGAACCCCAAAACTCTTTTTATACTCCTTATTCCTCTCCTTTAAAATGTGAAATAATTCACAAACGTACAAACATCTTAATTTTATGTTAAGAATGTAATAAAGATTATTCCTATATTTGATTGAATTATTGCATCGAAAAGTTCTAAATATAAATTGTTATTTTTGAATGGCCCTTTACCTTGTGCAGATATTGGGCTCCCTGTGAGTTCTTTACCCCCCGCAATGCTTGTAGTGGAGAATCAAAATGGCGGCCATTGGTCGTGATGTGAACAACTCGAACCGGCTTTCTGAGGCTTCACAGTTCTTTAACCGTGAAGATATGGATACCTCAGGGGAATATCAAGCCGAGGACTCTACCACGGAGAAGGTATCTTTATTTGAAGGGTGTTTACTGTTGTTAATCAAACGCTGAACTTGTTGGAATGACTTTGACACAAGACAAAATGCATGGAATATACTAAGGGCGCATGTGTACGTCTATAAACTTGAGATTATCTTGTAGAATGCCACCATATTCATTTAACTGAGTAGTTTAACTGTATTAGTATTTATAACAAAAGCATTATGGCGTCTTTCACCAGGCTTGTTAGTAAAAGTTTTGTAATATATGTTTACATAAAAATAACTTACTAATATTGATCAAAATGAAATAGGTTATTGATTTACTAAATCAAGCCCAGCTAGAAAAAGAAGGAAAGCTCGGTTGCTTAAAACAAGTAAGTTATTATTCTATATATAATATTATGCAGCTAATGGATGTAATGTTTTATGGACCACATTTCATTCCCTTGAGTGTTATTCCTTTGTTTTCCTGCAATCCTTGAGAGGGTACCTTAATATTCATAATAATCAAACAGGAAGAATGATAGTAGAGGCCCTATTAGGGGTAAATTCCAATRAGCCACAGGGCCTTGAAAATGGTGACATGAGAGCCACGAATTGGGGATGAAGGACAGACTTCTGTAATGAATTACTGACAGCAAGGCCCGGTTTTTGCTAAATTCCGACAAGGGACATAAGAACATCCTGAAATTGTGACATAGGTGGTTGTGAAATTCAGACTGAGGACATGGGTACCCCACTTATAGGACCTCGTAGTACTGTAAGTGTTGCCTGGTTAAACAGCTGGGCCCAGTTGTATGAAGCCTGGATAGCACTATCCAATAGATAATAAGATTTAATATTATCCAGTGGCTAAATTTATTGGATAACAGCATCAACTTATCCACTCGATAAGGATTTATCTGCCTAATAGCGCTATCCAGGCTTCGTACAACCGGACCCTGATTATTACCATGTCCTTGCCTCCCTCTATTGACTATACCATCATCATGCAGTGTGCCGCAATTTAGTATGTACTATGTCGTACTGCTCATACTACGTTTTGTATTTGTACAGTACACGTACCGCTTATTAATCTTATACCTTTGTTTCAGGTCCAAGAGTTCATCATAAACAAAGATCCATCATTATTAGACAATTTTCTAGATGTAAGTTAAGTATATAAGTAGATATATGACAGATACTGATCTTTTGAGTAGCTCAAAAAGAATTATAACTTGAAATAAGTAATGATAAAAGTGGCAATACCACTTTAAACTCTTTCAGTTATGAACACTAAGCAATACTTATCCAATTCTTGTTCTTTTGTAAAGGAAATTTTAGTGTTTCAGCAAGACAAGTCTGCAGATGTTAGGAAGTTTGTAGTTGGGTTTATCGAAGAGGCTTGGTATGTGACAATATTTAAACTTTAATTTTCTTACCAGACTTTTTAAAGATTGGGCTACCTGTGGTAGGGTAACAACACAGGAATCCCAAAATCAAAAAAATAATATAGTTTTCGTTATATTGTAGTAAAAAAGATGTTGAGCTATTTGGAAAGGTTCTTGGGAATCTTGCATTAATGTTGAATGATGAGAATGTCGCTGTGCAGAAACGTGTTATGCTGTGTATCACTCAGCTGTACAAGTATGCATTACAGGTAAAGTAGAACAATGTAACACCACTATCCCCTCCCCCTATAAAATCATAGAACACAAACATTTACGTTAAGACAACCCCTACTCTCCTATGCCATGTAGAATCATGCAGAATCAAACATGAGATGACACTTTCATCCATCATTTGTACAATTTAATCAAATCAATCAAATTATAATATTATATAATTTATAAATTTTAGAATTTTAAATTATAAATTATAGAATTTCCTTGGGAAAGTAAAGTGTTTCTGGTCTCTTGGTTGCCAAACATTATCTTCTTGAAACCAAAAACACTGTTAAAAAACATAAAACAAAGCATTCATTTAACATCCCTCCCTCACATTCCTGTGTCAGAGATTATTAGGATTACTGTTGAATTAGTGTTTCTGTATGTTTCAGTATGTGTGCAAGAAACGAGTCATTACTGAAGAGCTGGAACAGATGTGGGAGGTATAGTGACCTAGTTCAAGTAGTATATTATTTAAATGTGGCTAAAGGAAATTTAGGCAAAGTTAAAGTCAAGGAACGCTGGCCAGCGTTCTTCAGTTGCTGCGGGGGTGCCTTCAGGGGCTTCATAGCACATGGCATGCTACGTTTGTTGATATGACCGGTTTTTGTTAGGGCTAAAGTGACGAGGATGATTCTTCGCAGACTTGGCTCTCCCCTTCGGGTTATATTCGGCCCCTCGGCCGTGAGCAGTAGTGCGACCTGCTGCAGCTTTTCAGGCACCTCCCTCCAATTCATCCGTGCCGATGAGTTTAACTATTTGTTTTAGTTTATGTGCATATATTTTGTACCATCATCAAGCACCAGGGTTTGAAATTATGGCATTGAACAATATCTGGCCAAAGCTGGGACTTGTTTGGTCAAATCTTTGCCTTGCCGGTCATTTTGACCAGTGAAGTTTAGTCAGAAATGATACATGACTAAGCTTAAACTAATTTGACTGTGATCATGACTGGCGACTGTTATTTTGAGCCTCGGGCTCATTATTCATGTACTGTTACGTATATCATATTAAAGTGTATGCAAGAAATTTATATGAAATGTAATAATATTATCATGCTAAGCATTCGTATTGATTTCCTTCTCTGCAGTTGTTGACTGACATCAAAAATCAGATCATTTCCATGCTTGAGTCTGACAATGATGGGTAGGTCAGATTTGTATTTGGTTGCCATGGCTAGTGTTACTTAGTATTACATAATCGTATATGATGATCGCAAGTATGATTCACAACGTATCATTCTGCTATGACATCATGAATACAATTTATAAAATAAAGTAGTTCGGCAGAGTGACTCTTCTTCCACAGGATTTTAATTGGAATTTAAGAGTTGATTTTTGTGGAGGGAAGAAAACTAGAGAATCCAGAGAAAATCTCTTGAAGCAAAGAATACAACCAAAGAACAACTCTACTCATATATGAGCTACAGGGGCTGTATGTCTAGGAATCAAATCTGGGTTGCCTTCTTGAGAAGCAAGTGCCCTCACCCTTCACCCATGCTTCTCAACATTAGGTTATAGAAGATAATAGTCTTTCTTTCTTGCTTGTAGAATAAGAACCCATGCAATCAAGTTTATGGAGATGTTAGTCCTCGTGCAATCCAACAAGACACAGGTATGCTGACCTTTTTCATTTGCAAACAAATTCAATACAAGTAACATCAGAGGGAAGTAAAAGAACCACTGAGGACGTAAAGAAACCCTGGCAGTGACCACCCTCAGTGCCTCCACTTCATACTAACCATCTCTCATGCTTGTAAATTGCACAAAAAGCAACCTGTCATTCACAACTCAATGTAAAGCGGCTTTGATTATATTCATATAGAAAAGGCGTTATATAAATTCATCATCATCAATTAATAGTTAACACATTGTTATCAGGATTCTGAGTCAACAAAGAAGGGAGAGGCAGACTTTTCTCTTGATTCAATACCAAGAAACCATCCTCTAGTGAGAATGCCAGAGCTGAGAGAAGAAGGGGGTACAACCCTAGAAGCTCTGTTGACGCTGAGTGCCTCGCCTACAATCTCAAGGTAGGGTTATGTTGCTAATGTTGTACATCGATAATTATAATCTTCTAATAGTATTTTATTCTCGAAAGTTGAAAATGTTTCTGATGATAATGTTGGTGATTTTGTTGACAATAATGTTGTCGATGATGATGATGATAGCGATAGTAATGATGATGGTGATGATGATGATGCTGTTGGTGCTGATAATGATATCACTGCTGTTCAATCAAATTTTCAGTGTTAACTTGATGGCATCTCTCGGCACACTATCCAACATTGCCAGACAAAGACCTATCTTCATGTCAACTGTAGTGCAGACCTTTGAGTCTCTTCATGGTAAGTGATCTTATTGGAGGCTGAAAAGCTTATCTTGAGTGATTTTGAACCAATTGCCACACTTCAGGGGTGACCATGGGAAGCAAGCGAGCAACGAGACAGCTGTTGTTTTCCCAGGCTAACCATTCTGTTATTTTTTTTCCTGCAGCTAACCTTCCTACTTCTTTATCCAAGTCACAAGTTAGTAGTGTTAGAAAAAATTTAAAGGTAAGTTGACTCTATGTTGTTGTTCTAACATTTATTTCCTAACAAAACCAGCATCATYATCAACATCATTATCATCTACATTACCAGCTTCATTGTCATCACCGACATCTTTATCACCATCAACATCATCAACTTCACCAGCATCATCATCAACATCATTATCATCTACATTACCAGCTTTGTTGTCGTCATCAATATAATCACCATCATCATCAGCAACACAATGACAACAACAATGACTCTGATATTATGATATTACCATTAACATTAACATTACAATCTTTCTAAATCTTTCTTATTTTTTAGCTTCATCTAATGAACCTGCTGAAACATCCAAGTTCAGGTAGCCAACCCTCATTGTATTTCTTTCTTTCCTTCTTTTCTTCCTTTCCTTTTCATTTATCTCTTTATACTATCAATGACTGGTAAACATTCATAGTTGCTTGTTGTTAACACATTATTTACTTTCTTTGCAGTTGAATTTCTTCCTCAAATAACAACGCTATTGACAGACCTCGGAGCATCACAGAATGAGGTACAAATGCTTTGAATATCGTGACGAATGTCCTTATCGTTTCTCATATTCCTGACAACTTTATTCTTTTTTCTGCAGTTACAAAAGAACATGCCAAAACCAACTCCAGAATCTTTAAAAAGAAGGTGAAGAAAAAGCCTTTTTTGTATCATTTTCTTCCGGAGGGAGTTTTGTAAAACTAATAAATTATGTTTTTTATTCCTAGAGCGGAAAATGAAAATGCTGCAGCCAACAAGAAGTCCAAGCTGCTGGATGTGAGTATCAAAACTGGTTATAAACCTGCTGTAAACCAGTTGTGAACCTGTTTTAGAATAGGCATACAGTAATACTGCTTCTCAAATGGATTTCCTGCACTCGGCCAATTAAGAGTCAGGAAAAAAACACCATCCAATCACAATGCTTGATTCAGAATCTATTGTAATTAACAGGATTATTAATTATTTTGTTTAAGATGGATGATCCTGATATTATCTCCATGACAACGGCAGAGGCGATTGACTTGACAGCACAAGACTTAATACCTCTCTTAGACAAAGACAATGTAACCAACCTTGTACTTATCAGTATGTTATCTCTACCGGACAACCTGCCGACAAACTTTAGTGATACCTACACACCTATTGCCGCAGCTGGAGGACAGGCTCAAGTTGCTCATTTAGCCCGGCTTTTGGCTTCGCAGATGACAGGAGTAGGGGTTGGTGTTGGGTTTGAAAGAATGGAAGCTCTTAAGAAGGTCAGTTATGAAGGGAATTCATGTTGAATAGCTATTATCGCAGGGCAATAATAGCTATTATTGCATTACAAGTTTTTATTTACCTAAGGAGAAAATCTCTAATTTTTTGCTCGACAACACAGCTGCCATGAAAACAGCTTGTACTTCAAATTATCATTCACACATGATATATTAGTATATGTAATAGGACTCCATGACTTGGAAAATTCCGAGGACTTCCAAAATTGGATGAGGCCATAGGCAGAGTCCAATTTGGTAGTCAGAGGAATGATTCGAGTCTAATTATTTCTTGATTGGGGAGCATGAAATCCCATTATCTATTAATTATATAGACGCCTAATTAATCCCATATCAACAAGACCTGTCCAATTAAGAAAATAATTGGACAGTTACATATATGGGATTAATGAGAAGCTGTATAATTACAATAATTATTATACTACAACAGTTATTAATTTCATTAATTACAGAAGTCAGCTACGCTTATGCTTTTGAGTTATATTAATTGCCCTAAAACCACTCAAAGGATTGAGTGTTTAGTTAGAAAAATGATGTTTTCAAATTATTATTAATCAACAATTAATATATTTTTCTCCATAATCTATTTTTTTCAGGCTCAAGACCCAAGAATTAAAAAAGAATCAAATAAATCCATACCTGTGATTGGCTCCGACTCTAACTGGGACGCAGATGCTGAAAATGAGAATTCTGGAGTAAGTTTATTTGTTCTTCTTTTAGATCTTACAGTGGTACAGTACCGCTATTAAAAAGACACCTTACAGACACTAAGCACCTGGCCTGGTGTTTGTTTGTTTAATATACCTCCTCGGCTCAAGCATGATGTCTTTCATTTCAAACAATGTGTCATTCCCTGGAGTAACATTTTTTTGTTTAATGGTTGAACTTGGTCGACACGAGAAGAAACAAACAAAGAATAAGAATCTTATTCTCAAGGGAATGACACATGGTCTGAAATGAAAGACATTATGCCAGAGCCAAGGAGGACTATAGAGGTGTCCACTGTATAGAGATTCATTTTACTATGAATTGATGAAGGTTGTCTGCTTAACAATGGAAGTATCAGTGTATATTGATACAGTGGGAAAAACAGTTGAAACAGTTCTTTAAATATCTATTTTTATAATTTGTCTTTATTTTTTCCCCAGGACAAGAAAGACTCAGCTCTCCAAAGGATATTAAGTAAGTATTGAAACATTTCTTCTATATCTGCCAGTTCTATGGGGTCCATTTTATTTCTAATCATAAGTCGTTTCAGTCATTCAAAAGTGAATGAAAGTGGAGTAATATTTCCCATTATTGATATTTGTTTTACTACAGGTGGGCAAATAGATGTTCTTAAAGATAAAGGGAAAACAGAAGGAAAGAAGGTACCATGAAACCTTCCAGATATATCATACCATGAACATGTTCTTCCCATTCCATATCCCATCCCATTCTCATCCCACTTATATTCATTTTCGTTTCATTTTCATTCAATATATCGAAAGGGCTACAAGCTTATTATTATTTAGAGCTCCTCCCATTCCATATCCCATCCCATTTTCATCCCACTCATTTTCATTTTTGTTTCATTTTCATTCAATACATTGAAAGGGCTACAAGCTTGCCGTCATTTAGAGCTCCTCCCATTGCGCATCCCATCCCATTCTCATCCCACTCATATTCGTTTTCTTTTCATTCTCATTGAAGATCTTCCAACCAAAAGAAGCTGCTGTGCCTCAACTGGTGAGTTGTCGTCCTTTAATTTGGCTTATTTTATTATTTTATAGCGCTCTTTCTTCATGATACTCATAAGACCTTACATTGAACCCATGGTCTCCCACTTAAGGTGTCAGATGCTCCACCAACTGAGCCAGCTGTCAGTCATTCAATTACTAATATGAGTCACGTAATAATTAGAAATTTTTCTATAACTTCTAAAAATCACTCTCTTTTTCTTTCTCATCAGCGAATGCGCAAAATAAAAGCTTTTAAACTGTCAGAGGTTACCAAGGATATGAGTTTAGAGGAACAGCACAAAATGCTTATGGCTGCTGTCGACAGAATAATCAAGGCTGAAAGTAAGTAGTTCTCCTTATAGCACATATTTTAGTCTCTTCTACACCTTTATTGGGCAGCGGCCATGGAATGATAGAATTTTGCTTGTCTAGCCTCACGTTCACGCACTTTGGGATGATTTTGAATGGGCTAAAACAAATGTGGGAATAAGCCAGGCTGCTGTGTGTAGGACTATTTTTCTAGATGTTTTGAAGAAAATGTTTTAAGGCAGGCACCTGTGTCACTGGGTGTCAGAGAATGTTTAGATCTGCACACCTGTATGTAGCTTAGCTATAGTATTGGCTTCTAAACGCAATATTTGAGGACTAACTTATTGTTTTCTTGTTTCAGACAGTGCAGTTAGAAGTGGTGTACAACAAGTAGGTTGACAACTCCTTCTTGGATCAAATCAATTGTTATTTACATACACAATTGTTCCATGCCTTAGGTCTAAGAGATTCTGTCACAAGCCAGAATAGCTGTTGATATATGATTGTAAAGCACTGTGTATAAAAATGTTTTGACCTTTGTTTTACTTTAGGAAAGAATCAAGCTGTTGATTGGTTTAGCCATCCAGGCAGGTGGTGATGTCAGAGAAGGTACTGTTTCAAATTTTACGCTCTATTCCTGGACTTGGTATCACACATGTGAACAGTATATTGGGTCTCTACCTTGATTTGAAATGAAATGAAACAAACTAAATTACAATTTAATCTTTTATCTTAAGACCTAGCTGTTATGTATGAGAATAAAACTATATTATAAACTACTAATAAAAGAGACTAGGGACTGTATTTATTATTTACGGGATCAAAATTAAATTCCAAACTCCTCCCCTCACCAATAACTTGAATCTGTAATTAACTAGCCCATTAACTGAAAGCCAAAAATTTCAGTCTTTGTAGTAGAAGGTGGAGTAGTGGCACTGAAAGCAATAGTCTTTGACTTCTGGGGTCTTGGGTTTAATTTCTGGACTCAGCATCACATGTGAATTTGTTGGGTCTCTCCCTTGATTCGAGGGTTTTTCTCTGGGTTTTCTCGCAATAAATTCCAATTCAATCTGTGAGTTAGCCATGCCCTGACTTAGATCAGCCCAGAGGTTGTTTCAGGGTTCTATCTGTGAGTTAGCCATGCCCTGACTTAGAT